TGCTAGAGCCCAATTGGGAAGTGCAGGACACTGGAAACTACATAAGTTGAAGGGAATCGGAGGAAATATCTTGGTATGAAAGCTGGGATTCGAACCCTACTTCTGTCTGTCAGGAGACTGACAGATTAACCCTCTCGGCTATACCATGTATGTAGTTGCAAAAAATTAAGTGGATTCATTATGTGAGATTAGTTGGTGTGATAAAATTCTAGTTGTTAAATCGTATTGTGTGAAAGCAGTTAATAAACGTTTTTTTTTTCAAAGTTAACAGTTTGATAACCATCTTATTTACGGCTATTTGACTGTTTTGTTTGAATATAGCAAAATAACAATTAAATAAATTGTTATTTAAAAAAAATTTCCGAGAACTTTTCTAACAGTATACATTTATTCACGGTGAAAAAATTCGAAATGGATTTTACGGATGATGAACCTGAAGTTCCGATACTTCATGCCGTAATTTGATCAGGAATTTTTTATAGCGTTGTAATAAGGGGTCGAAAAGTTATAATACCCAACAAGAATAAGTTTGGCTAGGGCATGTATTTTTTACAAAAAACAGAAAACTACGTAGTACTTATATTTGACAATCCACATCCAATAATGCATAACACCAAAAATACAATACGCAATTTTATCTAGTTTGTAATCCAAAATTGTATTGACTTTACTTTAAATTCAATAAAGCTTAAGAATCTTTATCTTAACTTGGCAGCGCTTATTTTTCCAAGTCAATTAAAAGAAATCTGTAAAAAGTTTTATATAAAATAGAATCAGCCTTAGTGATTAAGCATAAAATGAATTTCAAATGACTCAGACCAGATAAAAAGAGAAGTTTGTTTCAAATGTAGCAAATTATCAATGAACAAGGATACACTTTTGACATTGAATTTACAGTTTTGACATTTTCAAAATACAGGATACAAAAAAGAGCTCAAATATTTTGTATTTGTCACGAAAATATTTCTCTAAAAAAAAAACTTGTTTTGTAACGATAAATTAAGGGCAAATATTGTGTCACGCTTTTGCAACAAATAAAAGATTGTGGACAAAAAATATATCTTCGTATTTTTCACAGAAAAACTGAATAAAAATGCTTAACATTTTATACATAAAAATAAAACCGCCCAATGAATTTTATTTAAATTACATAAAGTTTATTTAATTGAAAAAGAGTGATAAGTAATAGAAAATATAGGAAAAAAATATTAAAAACACTTTCTAACAATTCATATTTATTAATTTAAACTTTCATTTTTTTTAATTATATTATAACAGCATTTTACAAGTTTGAGGCTGTATTATAATTTTAAATGAAGCCCACATGCCAGAATATCACACTTAAACAAATAATAGGTTTCAACATAATACTTTATGAAAATTCAAACAAATTTTGAACAAAAATTTCAGAGATTAAATATTATTTATCTGTTATGTTATAACGGTTCTTAATTTTTTTTCAACTGTGGAACCCTTAATGATCGACCTTCTCTTGATGGAACCCTGAGACCTAATGAATAAATTTCATCGCCAGTCGTCAACACATCAATTAAAAGAAAGACTATTAATTATTTTGACAATATGTAATGATCTAAATTTTTGTAATTAGTAAAATATTTAGAAAATGAATGAAGGTTGAAATTTTTTCATTATAAATCGTTTTATCAATATTAGTCTTTAAATTGGGTTTTATGTTAGACATTTGAATTCACAAGTCTAGTTCCTATTTTTTATTTTAGTTCATGCCTAACCTAAAATATAGTTTCCGTTATTTAGAAGGAATAAAATAACGAAAAAGAATGAAAAAAAACGTTGAGAATGGTTATTATAGAAATATATCTCTTCATTGTTGTTTTTGGTTATTTTTATTCGACGTTGAGAATGGTTATAATAGAAATATGTATATCTCTTCATTGTTGAATTTGGTTATTTTTATTCGATTGAATAATGCGATGAAAATAAACGTTGAGAATGGTTATTATAGAAATATATCTCTTCATTGTTGAATTTCATTATTTTTATTCGATCGAAAAATACGATGAAAATAAACGTTGAGAATGGTTATTTCAGAAATATACCTCTTCATTGTTGAATTTGGTTGTTTTATTCAATCGAAAAATAAGATGAAAATAAACATTGAAAATTATTATTATAGATATATATCTCTTCATTGTTGAATTTGGTTATTTTTATTCAACGTTGAGAATGGATATTATAGAAATATATCTCTTCATTGTTGAATTTGGTTACTTTTATTCGATCGAAAAATACGATGAAAATAAACGTTGAGAATGGTTATTATAGAAATATATCTCTTCATTGTTGAATTTGGTTATTTTTATTCGATCGAAAAATACAACAAAAATTTTTAACAAATGCATATATCCTTTTCATAATACATTCATTTTATTGTAATTAAAAAAAACATTGTTTTGAAATTTCTTTCTTCACAAGCATTTCAATTAAATAATCTCATAAAATAACAGAAGCATTAAACGGATTATTATTTGAATATAAATTTAATTACAAGTTTCGAATATCATAAAGGGTTCCTAACTCTCGGAACCCCTGTGACCTTTCCATGGAACCATAGAGTTCCTTGAAACGCCATTTGGGTACCGCTTTTATAGAGAAATAAAATTTGTAACAAAAGATCAAACCGTTATGAAATAACAAATTGGAAATTCAAGACGACGTACAGAATCCAAATCAATGTCCAACTGATAAATTCTGGATTTTTGGCAAGGTATGAGAATTAAACAATACAGCTCAACAAATCGAATTCCACTGTTAAAATTATGAAATTAAAGTTCTTTGTATCCAAACGAAAACAAAATATTCTTCTTATTTTAGTTTTTTGAAATTATTAAATATTTGATTATCAAATTAATTAATTATATATTGAAATTGAATTGAAGGCAAAAAAAAAAATCTTAGAAACAGAACATAGGTGAACAAATCATAATGGAATATACGAAGTTTTCAAACTTTATTTTCAAATTTTTATAAATTCGTAATTCTTTTGCAAGGAATAACAATTGAACAACACAATGCAACATGTCAAGCATTATTTAGATTTTTATTCCCATTGTTAAAATTATCTTAAAATAAAATTCATTGTTTCCATACGAATGGCAAATTTCATTTTTATTTAATTTTTTCTATCTGTTATTTGAATAGAAATTAAGAAAAGACTGAAACTTAATTGGATTCTGAATAAATTTAGATACGAACAAATATAATACAATATAAATGAACAAAATCATTGCGTAATCATTCACACTTCTCAAATTTCGTTTTTAAATCCTGATTAATTCTTAATTTCTTTCCCCTATGCGTGACATTCAAATGATATAACTCACAAATTAACAATAATTTGATTTTTCCCCAATTGTTAAAACTTTAAATATTAAAATGAATTCTTTGTATTCAAACGGAAGGGAAAATTTTCTTCCAGTTTTATTATTTTGCAATTTATTGTTTAAACAGCAATTAAAAATAAATTGAAACTTAATTGGATGAAGAAAAATGTTATAAAAAGAATATACATGAATAAATCATTATGAAACTTAACATTGTTAAAATTTTTGTTTAAAATTCCGACAACTCATTATTTTTTGTCAAGACGTGAGGATCAAACAATGCAACTCAACAAATCAAACATTATTTTGAATTTTTATACCCATTGTTAAAATTATCTAAAAAGGAAATTCTTTTCATCTAGACGAAAGTCTTTTTTATTTATTTATTTTTAATTTGGATAACAATTAAGAATAGATACACTGTCAGAATTTTCATTCTAAAAATTACGGTAAAATAACCGGCAACAGTCTGTTCATCCAATTAATCGTAAAATTTACAGTAAAGAACATTTTTTTCCTTTACGGTTTTGAAACCGTTTACAACTAGTACGGTAAAAAAAAACGAAACCTATACTGTTTTTTAACCATTTATAACTAGCATGGTTTCAAAACCGCAAAAAAATGGAACTGGACATGGTGCTGCCATCTATGCGTAAATAAGAGCATCGTATTCTAATAATCCAGGATCAAAAATTTGGCAGTGCAGGAGAGACTTTTCATGTGGCGACGGGAATAGAGGAAATATTGTGGTGTCAACGCTGGGATTCATATCTCAATTCTGTCTGTCATGAAATTGACAGATTAGCCTTCTCGGCTATAATATATATCCATCAGCAAGGAATTAAGTGGCTTCATTGAGCCTAGTTGATGCGATAAAATTCTGGTTCTTTAACCGTATTAGCTGAAAGCAGTTAATAAACGGTTTTTTAACAGTTTAAATACCATCTTATTTGCGGTTATTTGACTACTTTGTTTGAATATGGTAAAATGACAACTAAATAAATTGTTTATTTAACCACTTTTTCCGAGAAATTTCTAACAATGTATTGGATAAAATATATTTTTTAATTGAATGCAGAAAAATCTCAGTACAGGACAAGAAATGGACGAAATGATAATGGAACATAAGAACTTACTATCTATATAAGGTGGCTGGAAATTTCTAACATTGTATTGGATAAAATAGATTTTTTAATTGAATGCAGAAAAATCTCAGTACAGGACAAGAAATGAACGAAATGATAATGGAACATAAGAACTTAATATCTATATAAGGTGGCTGGAAATTTCAAACATTGTATTGGATAAAATAGATTTTTTAATTGAATGCAGAAAAATCTCAGTTCATGAAACGAACGAAATGATAATGCAACATAAGAACTTATTATCTATATAAGGTGGCTGGAAATTTCTAACATTGTATTGGATAAAATAGATTTTTTAATTGAATGCAGAAAAATCTCAGTACAGGACAAGAAACGAACGAAATGATAATGGATCATAAAAACTTACTATCTATATAAGGTGGCTAGAAATTTCTAACAATGTATTGGATAAAATAGATTTTTTAATTGAATGCAGAAAAATCTCAGTACAGGACATGAATGAAAGAAATGGTAATGGAACATAAGAACTTACCATCTATATAAGGTGGCTGACTACCCGGGATTGGTGTGGTCGCTGGACCGTTCATTGATGGAGATATTGGATTAGCACCGTTCATCGCCGGTGATATCGGATTTGTCCCATTCAATACTGGTGTTACTTTTGAATCTCTGAGCGGTGCGTAACAGTAGTCTTGTGGGAAAAACTCTTCCATTTCTGGTATGACATCATACCCGTTATTTGTTAGCAGTTCAAGATTTGTTGGATTGCCTGTTCGACCATTTTCAATGTCTACAATGAACAATGAACTGATTTATGAATGAAATAAAAGTTAAGGTACATTTAGAAAAATCTTTTAATAGCCATTTTAAGAAGAATGTTTACAAGAGATAAATTGAAATAGAAATAAAATATACCATACAATAACACTAAAAGTTTTAATGGATTGATTCTTTTTTTCTTTTATTAGCTTTCTTTTACGCAATTTATTTGCCGCCAAAAGAAGGAAAATTATAATTAATTTTACCATTACACATTTGTTTATGTAAACATGTTTGTCTTACTTTACATTTTAAATGTGTAGAAAAGTAATTAGAAGAGTTGCTAAAATGACATATCATAAACTGCACCTTCTCTTGCCCTTATTGCAACTGTGGAAAAAAATAATGTTGATATCGTTACAGGTATTAAAACACGAAATTAATAACAATAATAATTTGTATTTATTTTTTCAAAAAAGAAGATCACACTAAAAAAACTTTGTAATTTCGCTCTAAAATAATTTTTATTTTTAACTTTTAACTTCTAAACCGATAAATGTCAATTAACACAGCAATTATTTCAATTTTTAAAACCACTTTATATTTAAATATTAATAACAACACACATATCAAGCATCTGGATGATAATGTAGCCTTTGTTTATTGTCTAAGTTCGAGTATAGATTGTAAATTTTCGTGATGTCCGAAATAAAAAAGTCCTTCATTTTATTACATTTTAAAATAAATTAATTAGTACGAGGCAAATAATTTAATAAATACAACAGCAATAGTACTTTTTTTAAGGATTTTACCAATTACATTATTCGTTCTAACTAAACGAATAATTTAATTGGTAAATTACAGCAAGTAAAAACATTTTGCACTTAAGTCATAACAAGTATAACTGCCATTATTTCTGTAGTTAAGGATATACGGTCGCTCACAGAAGAAAGTAAGCACTCACATTTTATTGATATGAGGACAATGCTTCTCCTTTTTACACACTAAAATAAACATTGCTCGTTGCGTGTATCTAGCTCGTTGCGTGTATCTAGCTTTCGTTCAAAATCAATCATGGATTTAAATTAAATTATCTTCACTGAATCAAATATTTTTAAAAATACTGTTATTTAGGAAAATACCAACTTTTCAACTTTTTAAGTACCACTCTTTAAAAAATAGCATGAAAATAAATATGAATGATTTATGCAAGCTTTGCTTATAACGTTTTGAAATATCGAAAAGATTTAAATATGTAAAATTTTCCAGTAAAACTGCATGAAAGCAAGATAATACTTATTTATTTTAAAGTCGACTTCAACTGCTGTTCGATTTCTGTTCTCTTTTGATCGATGCTAAAATACTAGAATGATAATAAATAACTCTAACAATAATTTGTAGTATTTAGTCAACTACATATATATACATTTCCTTTTCTCATTGCCTAACAAATACTATAATGTTAATACTACAAAGACGAGTGCGTATTAAAAGCAATTATACTGTTTTAAATTTCGAAATTCATGCGTTTTTCTTTTCAGATTAAAAAGAAAGAAAAAAAAAAGATTAAATATCTCTCCTTAATTGATTATTAACCAGCTGGATCTCGCAAGCTCTTTCCCAATCTAAAGCCTTTCTTTCTTTTCATGCTATTAAATATCACATAAATTGAGATTAATAGTATGTAAATGAGACATTCAATACCAGAAAAGTGGAAAATGACTCATAATCGCCTTTTTTTTTATTATTCAACCTTAGAATACCATAGAACGAAATTCCCGCCTTTTCTTCATTAGAACAATCCACAAATTCGAAACGCTCGTAATCGTCTGCGCTTGAGAGAAGGGAGACCACACTATATCGGTCATTCCAAGCATGGCACCCTAACTTTATGAGGTTGAAGCGCGATTATTAAGTATGAGTAATCCAAAGTAGAGGTAGTAGTAGATAGATAGTTGGATTGAAGCAAATAACAGAGCTCAACAATTGGCAGAACTTGCGACACGGGAGCGACAAACAATAATTATTGTGTTTCGCTGGAAGGCCGAATCGAACGATTGAGATCTAACTTATCACAACGTTAAATGCAGCACCATCCCTTTCTTCCACCCCCTCCGCCTTTTAAAGCACACTTTTTGACAACAATCAAAGAACAAAGGATATATTTATTTTATTATTTTACTTTTAATTCATCTCTCTTGAGTTAGTGTTTTTCTTTTCTTTAGCATGGACCATTCTTTTTTATGAGGTACCTTTTGTAGTAATTAATGAAGTAGGGACAGGCTCGTGCCAAGCCATATGACCCAACCTTTGCATCTATTTGTAATGCTACTTATAGAAGAGTGTTTATTGCTTGTTCTTTTGTAATTGCGTGGAAAAATGCTGATAATAATTACCTTGAGAATTCTTGATTTCGATTATTCAATGCCTTCGATATTAGCGTCAGAGAACGTTAACAATGAGGCATTGTTTAAATTGAATAATTATGTATGATAAAAAAAGATTTTTAATTTTTGTGCTATTCCTATGCAGCGAAAACAAAATGTCAACAATTTTCTAAATCCAACAGCTACCGTTGACAATTCTTTTAAAAAAAAAAATTAGTATTTTAGTTTATTCGTCGATTCTTTAAAATATAATTTTCTTTCTTTACAATAACGTCGCGCTTTAGAATGACGTAATTTTAACACAATATTTGCAAAGAATTTTAGAGATGTCACTGAAAAATTTTATCGCATAATCGGGATTAATCCAGAAAATGCGATACTTGCGAATTGAATTGCTGACTTGTAAGATTATTTATTTGTCTGTATGAATTGCTAACTACCCAACTGTAAATTAAAAATGTAACGAAAAGCATGTGTGTTATTTGTAAGTTAGAATGTCAGGAAGTTTAAATGTTAATGTTCAGGGGTGATAGTGAGCCCTACTCAAAATTCCTGAAAATTTCTTGAGTAAAATCTTTAATAACGCATTTCAAAAGAATCAATGTCTTTATAAATTTAAATCATAGATATTTTCAAAACATGAAATTCTAAATAAATTATATGCAGCATAATTTAAATGAATGATTATGCATAAGTTTACCTTTATCTTTAATCATATTTATTATTCTACCAGAAAAAATATTAACAATGATAGAGATGCCAAATATAAATTCTAGTTCTAATATTTTTAAATGAAATATACAAGAATTTTTATACATAAATGTGATCGATGATTTCTTGAAACTTCTGGGCCTTGTATTCCGGAAACTTTCGGATCGCGGTAAGCGAAAAATCCGGAAATCCGGATTTTTTTCCGGAGCACAATCATCTCCGAATGTGTAAATTATTATAAAAGGAACATGAAGGTATAGGTATAATGAAGGTAAGTGTATAATGAAGGAATAATAAGATATCTCTTTTGAGGAACCTTTTGTAGTAATTAATTATATTAGCACAGGCTCCTGCCTAAGCATAAGAGTCAACATTTTTTATTTACTTGTTGAAGAGTGCTTAAGGCGTGTTGATTTTTTCCGGAGCACAATCATCTCTGAATGATTAAATAATTATAATAAAGGAACATTAAGGTATATAAGTATAATAAAGGTAAGTGTATAAAGGTAAGTTTATAATAAAGGTATAATAAGATATCTCTTTTGAGGTACTATTTGTAGTAATTAATTATATACGCACAGGCTCCTGCCTAAGCATTAGAATCAACCTCTGTATTTACTTGTAGAAGGGTGCTTAAGGCATGTTCTATTGCAATCGCGTGGAAATATGCCGATAATAATTACTTTGATAATTCTTGATTTAGATTAGCCAATGACGACACTCTTAGTGTCAGAGAGCATTGATTATGTGGAATTGTTTACATTGAATAATTAATTATGGTAACGTTTTTTTAAAAAAATTTGTGCAAATCCCGTGCATGTTGCGGTTTAGAATAACGTAGGGAGATGAATATTTGCAAAGAGTTTTAGGGGAATAGCATAACTTGCCACTGAAAATTTTTATCACTTGGTGCGATGAGCAGGCCAGTAAATGTGATACTTTTGAAATCGAATCTCTAACTAACCAACTATAAGTTAAAAAAGTAACGAAAAGCATGCATATACTAATCAGTGAAAATCTTTAGTATGTTTAAGTGTTAATGTTTAAAATTTTTTCTTTAAAAAAAAGCAGCCTTGTAAACAGAAATTATATGAAAAATTAACTTTAATCTGTAAATTTATTTTATATTATCTTTTCGATAGTTTTTTTTAATACGTTAAATAATTCAGACTTTTATTCTAAGTAGAACTTTACAATTAGCATAATATCACCATTTTCAATTTCATTGAAGGTAATCCATATTTTTATAATAAAGCAATTTAATCGCTTCAACTGAAGCAAATTAATTATTTTAAGATAATTTTATAAGCTAGTGTCGTCTAAAACAGCGAAAAATATCTAACATTCTATTTTGAATATCACTATTTCTCTTTACTTTAGACTGATAACAAAAGGAAATATAAATGTTTTGTTGATATTTAAATACAGGGCGTAACATACGAGGTACGAACTAAGGCACACATTTCCCCCCATCGAATTTATAAAGAAGGTGCCTTCGTGCATAGATACATCTCTTATCAGAAAAAAGTAACGCCTCTTTTTCCAATATTGCTAAGAAAATATGACGCATGCATAACCTGATCAGTCTGTGCCTTCTAAAAACAAGAGCTCTTTATCATGCAAATGTATAAAATAAAAAAAAAAGAATTAGCACAAAAAAAGAGAAAGAAAAAAGGAGCACAAAGATTATTGAAGAACTATATTACTTTTTCTTCTCATTTTATGATAGTCCCATAAGAATATTGTCACCTGTCTTCTGTTTCACCAGAATAAATAGGAATCTCGGGTAATCAACAAAGCAACAAAATGTCATTGAATTTAAAATGGAACCATTTGTAAAATTGAATTGGGTCTGCGCAGAATGCAAGCCAACTAAAAACTAAACACTCGTTAGGTGTGGGAATTAGATGATTATATGGTTCAGGTCAACTAAAAAATGAATATTTAAATGTGAGAATTATTCAATGATTGAGAGAACTTATGTTGATTGAGAGAGTAGATCAAATTAAAACTGAAAAAGGTGCGAGAATTATGCAATGATTGAGTGTGTAGGTCAACTTAGAAATGAATTTGGCGTGAGCATTATGTGGTGATTGAGAGAGTAGGTCAAATTAAAACTGAATTAGGTGTGAGAATTATGTAATGATTGTGAGTGTAGGTCAACTAAAAACTGAATTAGGTGCGAGAATTATGTGATGATTGTGAGTGTAGGACAACTAAAAACTGAATTAAGTGTGAGAATTATGTGACGATTGAGAGTGTAGTTCAACTAAAAACTGAATTAAGTGATGATTGAGAGAGAAAGTCAACTAAAAACTGAATTAGGTGCGAGAATTAGGTGATGATTGTGAGTGTAGTTCAACTAAAAACTGAATTAAGTGCGAGAATTAAGTGATGAGTGAGAAAGTATGTCAACTTAAAACTAAATTAAGTGCGAGATTTATGTGATGATTAACTGTGTAGGTCAACTTAAAACTGAATTCAGTGTGAGAATTATGTGATGATTGTGAGAGTAGGACAACTGAAAACTGAATATTTATAAAGTGTGAGAATTGGGTGATAGTTTAGAGCATAGATGAACTATAGGACGAATCTTTCTAAAGTAGGAGAATTAATGTCGATTTTTAAATTTTAAGTCTTTCACCTTTGATATCGAACTACAAGTTATTGCTATAAGAAACAAATCATAGTAAAGCTTGACAATATTCCGCTGAGGAAAATTTACGTAAGACACATAAGAATCTATTTCAAAAAGTGCCTTACCTCTTAAGAGCCTGTCCAGATGATCCCACAAGATTTCGCCAACAAAACTGGGAGCCAAAGACAAAAACAATTCTTTCCCCAGCGAACACATATCTTTACCCTTCATTCTGAAATTTTCCGTGATCACTCCTTCCAAACTGAATTCCCGAATCGCCCAGTATAGCCATTGGATCACATCATCTTCACTCCACGTTCTTGGATCTGGAAGATAAAGTTTGCGAAGTAAATAAACAAATGTCCTCCCTTGTGACATTGCATTGTTTTAGAGGTGTGATTATGTATTTTGCATGCTTAGGTAATGGAAGAATATACAAACATTCAACGGTCCGACTGGAATGTATCTTTCTCAGATATCCAGAAAAAAAAATGGCCTTGGCAATTTCCTGATAAATTATCTCAGAACACGCGACTGTGAAAATATATTCATGAATGCTTTAATGGGTGTGAAAAAAAAATCTCCATGGTATCATGTGAAACATATGTCTAGCAGGCTAAACAGAGGCATAGCCGCTGAGCTTCAAAATAAAACCAAACAAAAATAACTCGGTTGGTTTTAATACCTGCCTATGTCAGCGGTTCCCAAAAATCCTAGGGTTCCGTGGAAGAAGTTAATGGGTTTTGAGAATTCGGACTTTTTTTTAAACATTTTTGAAATGTGTAATTATATTAAGATTCAATCAATAATCCATTATTTGCTTAAAATATTTTGGTTGCTTTTACAATATTTTTTTAAAGTAAAATGCCAATAAAAAAATAGCACACTTTTTGTGGGGGGAAATGTATAGTTTTTCAAATAATAATGTATTGAATAAACTATGAAAAGGACAGGCATTTATAAAATGTTGCATGAGTACTTTCCATCAGGCCTTTCAAACCAAAATAAAATAACTAGATAACAAATAAAGAAATGTGTTTCCCTAATAGCGACTTTCAACATTTATAGCAATTCTTTCTGGTTTCTATTTCAAGGAAAATTATAATTCGGCGTCTTTTATTCATTTTAAGCTTATGTTAATGCATAAAAAACAAATTCATAACAAGACTAGATTCAGCTTCACGACTGTGAATTCAACTATCGGATATATAACCCGATAGTTGATTATAATTTAAGATTATTAATGGCTCGGGATAGCCTGGTTGGTAGGGAGTTGGAGGTTGGACCCATATTCAAACGTTCATGAGTTCTATCCAAGCCGGCCGAAGAGTTTCCTTGCAGTAAATGGTGATTGGTGCAATTTAAATCTCTCGGGCCCCAAGTTCCTCCATGTTCCCATCAATCCAAATCAATATCACTGGGGCAGGGGTGATTGTAAGCCCAAGTCAAAACTCCGGAAAATTTCTTGAGTAAAAAAAAAGTTTAAACCGAAAAATTAGAAAAAAAATTTAAACCAGGTTTTTTCCTTTTTCTCAATATTTCTTTGTTTACTTAAAATATATTTAAAATTTTACGCATACCTATACCTATGTCGACCTGGAGAAGTAATTGAAATTTACAAATATGTCTTTCTTGAGTTTATCTTTTCGATANTAGAATATGAATATTAATCATGTATATAAGCTTATAAAGTATCTCTCTGACTCTCTCTGACAAACAAATAAAATTAACTGTGTTTTTAAGTTCCACCTTTGAAAATTTGATTTCCGGAAACTTTTGTGAACAATGATTTTTTGAAACGTCTGAACCTTCCATCTCCGGTATTTCGGATTACGGTTAGCGAAAAATCCGGAAATCCGGATTTTTTCCGGGTCAGCTCTGCCGGGTCAGCTCTGATTTCCGGATCAGCTCTGCTGGGGGTACTGAAATGGAGATTGATCGTTCTCTGGATCAGGTCAAAATTACGATCTGTGGATGAATAAATAAATGTGGATGTATGAATGGGTCCGACCTATAAACGGGCTGTGACGAGCGTGTGACTGAAGTCGTATTCTTGGCCATAGATGGCGCCACTAAAAAACGAAAACGCACCCTCTGCCTTAAATTCACTTGGTTTCACCCAGCAGGTTTGCTGGTATTTGGCAAATGGTATTAGAAACAACAAGATTTTTAATAATAAAACGAGGAAAAAATTTCAATCCTTTTAGTAAATATTTTCAAAATAACGTAGTCTTTTATAGGTTGATATGTTAACAATTGTCTTTATATACTTTAGTTATTAATGCTCAATTACCGTTCCATAGCCGTAAAAAAATTGGGAATCGCTGGTTTATATTATTAGTTGCAGAATGTTAAGCAACTTTTTAAAAAAATACGTACATTTAAGACAGTTATTTTAATTTTTACATAACAATGGTAAACAGATTTAAATGAAAATGAGATTTACAAACGGATTACTTTAATTAAAAAAAGGCAATTAGGGTATTACTTAAAGTTTTAAATTATAAAGTTCCGAAAGTTATTTAACTGCTTAAGAAAACTAGAGCTTCAAATTAGGAAGAAAAAAATTCTGTATCGTACAAAAAATTTACTTTACAACAAGGGGAATCTGAAAGTATTATAGCTTTGTCGAAATTAACGCAAGACTTAAAACTGTTTTACTAAACATAATCCAACACAAAAAAATACTTCAGAATTTTTATTTTATTTCCTATACAAGCATAAATTGAACAATGACAAATATAGAATGACTTGCATCCCTAGAACTCTTCAACAGTTCTTGAAAATTATTTTTCAATCCAATCAAATAAGGGCAATTTACACCCCCTATTTCAATAACCCCCTATTTATATTTTAATGGGGTAGATTTTTTTGAAGATATATAATGGTTCTATTTTACTTATAATAAAAAGTAAATTGAACTGAAAGTATAATTGAAATTGAACTGATAAGTGAATTGATATTTAATTGATAAATCAATAGAATTGTTACTGATATATCAATTAAACATTCCGTAATGAATAATTTTAAATTGCTTAAATAATAAATGAAATTTAATCAATGAGTGAATTGAAATTTATTTAAGGAATAAATTTAAATTCTATAAATTGATAAATAAAATGAAATTCAATTGATTAGTGAATAAAAATTTAATTGAAATAACCTGATAATTGCATTCAAATGACTTTAAGAGTTTTCTTGAAATAGAAAATATAATTTGATAAATTTTCGAAATAGAATTCGGCATAAGATTTAAGAAAGGGTATACAAAAACATATTAACTTACACGTGTCACAAACTATACAATAATTATTACTTTAAAAGGTTTCTAGTTAGTGACTTATTATATTAGGCGATATTTCTTTGAACAATTTGCAATTTAGGACCTTTTATGGTTAATAACTTTCCACGTTTAACCATTACGCATTAAGACAATAGTTTCCAAAAATTTATGAATATAGACTGCACCGAAATTAAATTGAATTACATATAAAAGAAATGTGGTAAAAATTTATTGCTAAGTTTTTCTTAATATTTGCTAACAATAAAATTGAGATTATTTGCTATCCCACGAAACTCAATCAAAGGTTTAGACAAAATAATGAACCAGAATAATTTATTATACCATTTCTGCTAACAATGTCATCTGCTGGACCTCCAGACTGATTAATAAAAAAAAATGTGTGACATAACCACCAAAATGTCCATTTATGTAGAGGTATGTTTTAAAAGCGGTCAAATACCTTATCTGAAAGGAGTGTCTGGGTCTAACTGCAACTGCAGCTGGTCCATTTCAGCTGCTTCTTTTTTTCACTCTTCACCCGCGGAATCTTTAACTTTTGAACCATTGTTTGAAATTGAGACTTTGGCAGCGGTTTTATTAGAAGTGACGTCACTAAAGATGGCGGTTTCTTTTGTTCAAGAAAGGAATGATAATCATTAGCAAGAATTTTGGTGACAATGAAAGCATCTTGGATATTTTTTATTTATTTTTTTGCAATGTCTGCTAGCTTGGTATAATATATAGTGGGAGGGTCGTGAAAATATTTTGTTCGAGGAACGTTTTTAAACATATAATTCGTGTCACATTGCTTACTTGTTCTTTTTTATGGAAAGTATTTAGTTCGCTAATAACTTTACATTTTTGCTAAGCCATTTCACACCAAAAATTCACACTATAATTTCTTAAAAGTCTAATTTATTTATTTTGTATTAAAATTGACTGCAGCTATTTTAACTCTTTCGTATTAAATTTAGTTTTCGAAATAATAAGTAGTAAAGTATTTATTATATGAATTTAAATGCAAGTAATGTTTAATTGTTTCAGTTATTTAAAACTTCACTCAATGATTAAAAAATCGCAACAGCAAATTATTACAAAAACATAATAACACGCAATGTAACATCATAACAGATACATATTATAAATATAATAAAATAACAAATTTTTCTTTTTCATTGACTCTCAAATGATTTAAATACGATTTAACTTTTTTTATTTAACAAAGACAATAATGTAATTTGGTTGCTCCTTTACTTTATTTTTCATTTTATGTTTAAAAAAAATAATTCGGCCGTATTATTTGCAGTTTAGATATGCTTTAATAATCTTTACAATAAATGATATTAATATGGTTAAAATTCGAAAAAAAAATTTAAAAAATAAATAGAAAGATGTTCAGATTTTTTTAAACTAAAATAAAATTAAAAAAAATTGTATAATGGAGTTTTCTTACTGACGAATGTAATAAATACATTTGAACTCGGTGTACTGTAGTAATTACATAATTCCGGCTCAGTATAAACGTTTAAAAATTTATTTTTCAAACTCAAATGATTTAATGTAAATACGATTAAACTCAGTTAACTAAACTAAGGACCAACAATAATATAAAGTTGGAAAATATTCTTCTTTAAATGAAGATTCACCCATTATATGTCCTAAAACAGAAAGTTCTAAAAACTGCGACGATGGTTTCAAAACAGTCGAAGCCACTGCAGAACAATTTATGTTACCTGCAGAACTTTTTACTCCTCTTCCTTAGAAGAACAATTTAAGATCAAATTTTACTGAAACTCTCAGACTGTTAATAATTTTTATTTCATTACGTTATACATTAATAATTTTTTTGTTTGCCTAATTAAGGCTGCTTTTTTGAAATTTTAGTTTGTATACTAAAATTATTCGAAATTGAAAGAAAAAAAAATTTAATAATTTTACTAGCGAGTATTGTTTTCTTATTTTCGAGGACACACGAATAGCGTTTGTAATTAACTCAGGTCTTGTTGTAGAACAGTCGACATAATTCTGCCAGATATATGTAAA